ACCCCAATTCCATTGCACAAGCAGCAAGTCCTGCCAATGGCATTGCAGAATCAGGACCCACTGCTTACACAAGGGTAATGTAGCACTTCCTGGGTGGAAGGCATTTATTTATTTAAAACCCTTACCATGGTCTCAGGACGGTTTAACAATAAGACAATATAAAATGAAACACAGTGTCCTAATAAAGTTTCCAAGCAGCAATAGAACCCCCATTAAAACAATCAAATCTTAAAACATTGGGATTTTAAGGTAAAAGGTAAGTGGACAGAGCTCCCCCATGTGAGCTCTGCTCACCTGTCTCTTTCCAGAAACGAGTGTCTCCCCTTGTTTCCTCAGAAGTGCCAAAGTGCCATTGCACAAGTGGTGGGGGCCACTTGTGAAAAATAATCAGCAGGGAAGAAGAGAATAATGGGCAATGTAAGATCGGTGGCAGAGGCCCTTCTCCAGGAACCCTCCTTGAAGGATATTAGGAGGGCGAGTACTTGCAGGGCTTTCTCTGCGGTGATGCCCAACCTATGGAATGCACTCCCCAGAGAGGTCCGCCTGGCGCCGTCGTTATTTGTTTTTTGGCGCCAGGCCAAGATCTTTTTATTTAAACGGTATTTTAACTGTTAATGGTTTACTTGTTGATTTTAAATTGACCAGGCTGTTTCCACTATTTTATTTTATGTATTTTATTTATTTGATGAATTTTTTGCATTTTATACTGGATTTTAATGATTGTAAGCCACCCCGAGGCTCATGCGATGGGGCGGCGTATAAGTTGTCTAAATAAATAAATAAGTGCCTCCTATCCTGCTCTGGACTGGGGTTGCTGGATCTACTGTGCAGAGGGAGATGATAGGCTATGCTGGAACTTCAAGGCCAGAAAGCAAGCTAAAAAGGAATTTTGAATCAAGCCTCAAATTTAGATAATACTGTCTCAGAAAGCCTTTTTGACTCACTACATACTCACTTATGGCAGGCTTCCGCTCCCTCCAGTCTCTCACATTCCTACTTGGTCCAGCTTTAGCATTTGAATCTTTACGCTAATATGAAGTTTAGCATTTTTCTTTTAGAACTTTCCCACTTTGCCTTTTCTATATTTATTGTTTATTCTGGATTTATTCTACATTTATTGCTTTAATTGTTAGATCTTTATGGATGTAAAGGCAGGATAAACATATTTTAAATAACCAAATGAACTCATCTGCTGAGAGAAGTGAATCTGTCAGTATTACAGAAAGTGGCATTGCTTTCCTGAGTACAGTATCTACTTTGATGTGGCTGTGAATTTATCTACTCCAGCTTCAGAAACACATTTTGGAGTTAGCAGTTTGAATTGATACGTTCTTTGCAAGAATGCAGTGGATTATATTAAAGTCTAATAAACTGTTTTATATTTAAAAGAGTTATTAATTGGAAAAAAGATACTGGTATAATTACTCAAGTCATCAGGGGTCAAACGTTTAAGAGGTTTTCAAAAGCTCTTAATATTAGCAAGTCTCTTGTTTAAAATGAAGCTGTGATATGCAAGACTTTCATTGTACAAGACAGCCACTTAACCAATTCATTTCTTAGCCTGACACATAGTTGTTGACATTTTATACTAGCCTGGGAGTACATATCATCTCTGAACATTTCTCAAGTGACAGTCACTATCTGAATATTTTTGTATAATATCTTATATTGCCTTGAGCAAATTTTACTGGAAAGTATCTAATAAGCTCATTGGTCACTCCATCATGCTTCAGAAATCACATTTCAAATTGTGTAGTAGACTTCTCAAGTCAAAATATGAATTTAAAAAAGAGGTATTAGTGAAAATAACTTTTAAAATGTATTATATTAAGGATATTGTTTGTGAAAATGTGTGTACCAGGAAAAATTGAATACAAAAATGCATGTGGAAGGAGAAACATATACATGTTTTCATAAACTTCTGGTTTAAAAATTCTCATTTTGTCTGATCTGACAAGCAGGGCCGTCTTAACGCATGGGCCTGATGGGCACTTGCCCGTGGACCCCATACTAATCTCTGTATGTTAACCCTTGGAAATGGGAAAACTTCCAAAATTAACAGTAGTTGTAGTTGTCATAGGGGCTTCAGTACACTGCTTTGCCCAGGGCCCATAATGCTGTTAAGACGGCTCTGCTGACAAGGTCTCTCTCTCTTATTTTCTTATCTCCCATGCATAGAGCTTCACTGTAGTGGCAACACCAATGACTTTCACTGCTAAGCTCAACACTGAGCCTATTCTGCACAAGCTAAGATCCCGAGATGAGTATTTTTTCCTTAGAAACTCCCACCATGCCAACAGGCACAAAATTCCCTGGCCTCCTGGCATTGTCTGGGGAGGGCACAGGATTATTCCAAGTCCCTTAGTTGCCCTGTGCCAGCAACAGTGAGGAGGCTACTGGAGGGAAGGGATTCACTGAGTCTCTGCAGGGTCCTGGAGAGGCCCCTGCTCCTTCTGGACCACTCCCTGAAGCCTTGGATGCCACGCTACACATTTGTGGCACAGCCTCGCAGCATCTGAACAGCAAGCAGCTGCCAGCACAAGGACCCCGAAGAGCTACTCGCTGACTTTTTAAAATTCTAATATTCCTGAAATGCCTCAAGGAAGCTTACAAAGCCAACAAAACAGTCATGCTTGAAAAGGTATTAAAACAGATATAAATTCATCCCAATAATTTTTTTAAAGTGCACAAGGACATTCAATTAAGTTACCCAACTGCCTCAGACCAACAGAGGGAAATGTACAACAAGATCCTCATTAGGAATTTGTCAGTACATTTCTGTGCAGGATTTCTCAAAAGTAAGTCCCATTGAAGACAGTGGGGCTTACTCTTGAGTAAGAGGGCAGAAGGCTAGAAGCTAGCCTCACTGAGTTACTTCTGAGTAAATCGGCAAAGGACGGTGTTGCAAGGTTGTAAAATGATACAGCTTTAAGGGCTGTTCAGGTTTATATATAATGAGTGTAATTAGGTGAGTCTGCCTTCAACAGGTTTGCCATATTTACTAATGCTGCTATGACCAAGCACAGCAGCCTCATACTGGGTTAGGGTTAACAGCTCTGCATCCTTTCATTAAGCAAAAAGAGGAATATTTAACTAGAATAATCAGCAGCGTCTCTCTAGGGCAAATCTTTAGCAGAATACAAAGGTGTCTAAAACATATATGCAAAATGTGCATAGGACACAAAGCCCCAGGATTCACACCTGGGGATTACAGTGCAGTTTTGTGCGTGTTTGTTCAGAGTTACCCTCTGTGTTCAATGGGACTTATTCTAGTAAGTGTGCAAAGGATTGCAACTTTAATGCAAATAAGGTTCAATGCCTACAATACTGAAGCTGCAATCCTGAACACACTTTCTAAGGATGATACTTAGTTCCTGCTAAACATGCATAAGGTTGCACTGTCAGGCCCCCAGTCAATCATTTCTAGGGCTTCTGTGCCCTACCAACTCTTCCCACAAACATTTTACACTCCATCTCCTATTAATGTAGCCTTTCCGATTAACTCATTTTTAAAGCATGCATTTACATGTTTACTGCACCTTGGCATGGAAGCAGAAGTGGTATTAGGGGATGGCCCACTAGGGCTGAATGCCCTAAATCTTTCCTGTGGAGCCCCAAATCCATGGGAAGCCATCTGTCCCTACTCCTTGCTATCTTAGACCACTTGCTGAAATAAAGGTAAAAGGGCCCAGAAGAACTCTTTTGACTCTGATCCTCCCGAATTAGTTGGCTTTTTGTTCATATGTGCTTCATCTCCTTGAATCTTTGCTTGGTTTTTTTCCTAAAATCAAATGCCTGCCTTTCTCCTGTCCATGCATCCCTTTTTCATTAACAGGACTGTCCTGTTCTAGGAGACAGGGTCCTTTAAAGACGCCCCCCCCCCCCACACACACACACAGACCTTAGAGCATGTGTAAAGAAACATATGCAGATTTTATCCTCTGGGCCTCAGCCCCAGATCTTTTCTGAACTCAGCACCACTGTGGTGTGGAAGCAAGTTTTGATTCAAGGTTTCTTTGCTTGTTACCATGGACTTACTTGCTAACATAGCAAGATAGTAAGAGGAAAGGGTTAACAATTGTGCAGGCAGAGCCGTGAAGCCTTTAAACCAGAATCAGAGAAATTGCTGCTGCTCAGTATTGCATATTTTTGTAAACAAATTCAATCACATATGATTGTATTTGTGCATTAAAAAACTCCCAAAATTCTTCCCTGCTTTGCTGCAGTTGGCTCACTTTCTTGCTGAGGTGCTCTCTCAGAAATAAGGACACACAAGAGGTTAATATTTAGCACATAGAATGCACTGCTCATATATTACACCCCCAGTTTTCTCTGTCATAGAGGCAGAAAGGATCAAAAGGTCATTCTGTCCTCCATGCAGAGCAGCTCACCCAGCCACAGTGGGCCACCAGCAGAGTGCAGAGGCATCTTAGATGGAACCGTTGCAGATATCACAAGTCGGAGAACCAAGCCGCATTGTCCTGGGGAAGGCAAATCCTCCCCTCGCTCCAAAATGCTGAGACGGAGTCAGAGACTGACAGATAGTGTCTACTGGTCATCTCAACCTCAGAGATGACATGTCTCTCCCTGAGCATGTCAGGGAGAAATAAAGGACACTTTGTGCTATATGTCAAGCAATCTGTTACGGTCAATGAACTGTAGTATTCTGCAAAAAGGAGGCTTATCGTGTTTGGGAGAATTTGGCAATCTTAAATATACACCAAAAAATTTTACTTTCAGTTTTGCACATATTATGATCTTTTTCTTAAATCTCAGCTTGCTTGCTTGCTTTGGCACCATAAGACTCTTTCTTTGTTTTGCTCCAACACTTTACTACTCCTCTGGAAATTGTTAGAAAAATGGAATGTAGCTGATTGTGGAAAATAATGCCCAGCTCAGATCAAATTGTCCTTTGACCCATAAAACATGTACTTGATTTCTTAAGTTTCATTCATTAAAGTTTCACATTTAACATTAAGTATCTTGGAAGGTTAACTTACCAGTTGCTGACACTGCAATGATGGGTGACCCAAAGGTTTGTACCTGCTCCCTAATTGGCAGCTTCTGCTGTTTCTTGTCTAAGAACTGCACAAATGGATTTAGAAAACGTAGAGAGACAGTGTTCCGAATGACTTAAGAAAGAGAACAGGAACAATCACTTCGTTCTCTTTTTTTTCCTCAGATGAGTTCTGTACCTTCAGAAAGAAGGAAGGAAGGGAGGGGAGAGGAAGTCAACAACCCTTAGCTTTCCTGAAAAAAAATAAGGAAACAGCAGATAGCCATCTCGTTTCTCTCTCAAACAAAATGTTTGGAAAAATAAATATCACCAAACCAAAAGAAATTCCTTAAGTATTATATCTTTATGATGAATTTCATAGGGTGTAATTTATAACTCAATGGGTGGAATGCCATCAAAACAAACATAACGTTCCAAAAGCAGAGCTTTGCTTGAGGAGTGCAATGCCCGTAGCTAGAAACATGCAACCGCCTTAGCCAGAGGAATACAGGCAGTGAAAATATACAGGGTATTTATAAAAATGGGGGGGGAAACCCTTCGTGAACACAAATAAAACACACAGCCTCAATGCCTTTTAAAATATAAACACATAAAAAGGAAGAATGGGGTTGTGTGGGGTTTTTGGTGAAATGAACAGAAAAATTCAAACTGCAAACATAAGAACATTTATTATTAACATTATTATTAAATGGTGTTTATACCTCAGTTTTTTGTCCTGTGAAGAACCCAATGCAGCTCATATCGTTCCATTTTATCCTCACAACGACAGCCCTATGAGGTAGGTTGGGCTAAGAGTGAGCGACTGGCCTTTACCCATGGAAGCTTCTCTGTATTTAAATGCATTGAATTCTGAAGGGATTATAAGATATGATCTAAATTGAGCTAAGAAATATAAGAACAGGGAGTTGATCTTTTTCTTTGTTGGTGACATAAGGGGTAGGTACAATCGAGATATGTTAAAGATTATAAAGAGTGGGGCTTTTATAAGGAGTTAATAGCATTTGATTAAGTGATGTTTAAGTTAGATGAAACACTAGTAACTTAGTATTAAGAAAATTTGTATAAAATCTATTATAGGTAATAGTTGTCACCAAATAGATTAGCTAAGATGTTTCTAAAGATGTTAAATGGATGTTGTGTATTTAAACATAAATTGGGAATTCTTATTATACAGAGTAGAGGAAGTGGTACAAAAATTCCTAGTATCTTGAACCGGAAATTTCTTTTTTTAGTAGGTATTATATTGGAACATTAGTAAATAAGACATGTATTTGATTTTACTTGTAATCTTTGTGGTGAGGAGTCTGTCTGTTTAATACTGGAAAAATGAAGAATTATCCTTCGATGAAATGATTGAAATGGTCAGACTGAATTTACCAGTGATGCAGAAATGGATAGATTGATTTTATCACTAAAGGAGAAAGAAGATATCAACTTCTATCAAACTTGGATTTTTTTTTTTTTTTATTGGCTGGAGAGACGGGACTTGGCTTAAAGATGTTTTTAAGTTATTATAAATGGATTTGAATATGACTATAGAATGTTGAAAGATATGTAGTAGGGGGCTGACCCAGTACGTCCGATGTATTTGATGATTGATGTTTTTAGTATTAGTTTTAAAAATTTTAATAAAAATCTTAAAAAAAAAAAGTGAGTGACTGGCCCAAAGTCACACAGTGAGTTTCATGGCTGAGTGAGGATTAGAAACTGGATACCCTAGGACCCCACTCCAACACTATAACTGCCACAAGACACTGGCTCTCATTTACTCAGGAGTAAGTTACACATGTAATCACACACTTGTTCTGCTCATAGGACATGTTTTCAGAAGGGCTGCAGGCAGTGAGAAGCAGGGCCGGGACATGCTTCTTGCCCCATGCACTGTCCCGTAAGATCCCACAACAGCCACTTCAACATTGCCTGGTTCACCTCTGCAGGTCATGTGTCATGCCCTTGCTAGGGAGAGGGAAAGATTTTGCTTCTCCTCTCCCCACTACCAGGTTAGGGGATGGTAATTGTGGATCTAGGGCATGGGCCCTCCAACTATGGCCTGTGGACCAGATCCAGCCTGCCATGCCCATTTGTCTGGCACACCTTGGAGGTTTTGGACTCCCTGCGCCCACCTTGCCACATGCGTGGTGAGGCAGCGGCTTGCTCGCTCAGAGATCGTGTTGGACTCGCTCGGAGAAAAGGATCTCCAAGCAAACTGCTGCCTTGTTGTGCATGCGCATGCCGTCCCCTTGCCACGTGTGTGCCCACCATCCCCTTGCTGCATGTGTGCCCGCCGCCTCACCTGCCCCCGGCCTGCACCTGCCGCCACTGCCTTTCAACTGGTCCCCTGTTGAAAAAGTTTGAGGACCCCTGATCTAGGGTGAGCAACTTGTGGCCCTTCAGATGTTTTGGCCTACAACTCCCATTTTCCTATGATTAAACTGCCCAGAGAGCTTTGGCTGTGGGGCAGTATAGAAACGAAAATAGTCTCAGTCCTTGTCATCACTTTCCATTAGCCTGAAGGGAGCTGTAAGGGCAGAACAACTGGAGAGCCACAGGTTGCCAAGCCCTGCTGCAGATGCTCTTCTTTCTTGTTAGTATGACTTTATGCAGCATAGATGGGAGTTTGTGGTGGAACCAAAGATGTTAGAAGAGCCCTGCTCGATCGGAGCAAAGGATCATCAGCTCAACCCCTCTGTATGCCCAGTGACTAGCCAAACGCCTGTGGGAGGCCCACAAGCAGGGCACAAGGGCAGGGGCATCCTCTTTTGTGTTTCCCGGCAACTGAGGGAGCGCCTTTCTCCATATAGTCCTACTGCCTCACTTAGATCTTCTGCAGAAGCCCTCCTCCAAATGCCTTCCCCTAGTGAGATCAAAGGGGAAAGGGCCAGGACAAGGGCATCTTCTGCTGTAGCACCTAGACTCCGGGATTCACTCCCCAGGGATATACAGCTGACTGCAACTCTTCTTTCTTTTAGGTGCCAGGTGAAAACTTTTTTTATTTAAACAAGCTTTTGGTTAATTATTTAATTTCAATTTAATACTTTATATTTAATTAATTTTAATTTAATACTGCTGTATTTAATACCCTAGTTTTCATGCCTCTACCCAGAACACAGGACTGTAGAGTGGGTTAACTCTTCATCAGCTCTTTACCACAAATCCAAGATTTCTTTCTTGGCCATTCACCATCAACTCAGATCCCATCAGTACATAAGTAAAATTAGCACTTGTTGCCCCAGGGTATATTGCTTTAGTGTGTTCTGCTAACCATCTTTGCTTCAACAACACTAAATTATCAGATGTTGTCAGAACCACTTCTCTTATCCCCTGACTGGTAGGTTTCCCAAGTGTTTTTGCTGAGGAACATTGTCAAAAGCCCTTTGAAATTCCATGTAAACAAAAGACCTCCATCAACAGATGGAGCTGCTCATTGTAATAATGGTGACATTGCACATTAAATATGCATTTCCCAAACCTGAGTTCTTCAGACATATTGGACTACAAACACCATCCTCCCCAGCCAGCATGAATGCTATCGTAGATGACCTCGAATGAGCCAGGGATGACCAATGAGTTTGGTGGGTTGCTGCAGTGGGAGGGAACTGAGGGACTTAACCTTATAAATCTAACCCAGCTGCTTCTTCAGTGAGGTATCTATGAATGTACCCCAATGCCGTGGGCTGCAGGAAATTTGGAATTAATGTCAAGGGATAGGATCACTCTTTAATTGCCTGTCATTTCCTCCATGTTTTCTCTGACTGCTATTACAGATATGATTCTGTGCGATACAAGACAAACTTATAAATTTGAGGGGGAAGTTAGAAGTGGATTTCATATAAGAATGTTTTTTCAAAAAAGAACACCAGACAAATCCAGACACAGAAACTAGTATTCGCTCCCTTGAACATGACAGCCAATTTACATTATTTTTCCATTTCCTCTCATGTAAGACTAAAATCTGACTCATATAATTCTTTTCAAAGAAATTCTTTTCTAGTTTTCAAAGAAACTCTTTTCAAAAGCTGGTTATCAGGATATATCCAATCCCATTATACTTATGCTTACATGTAAAAATGAAGTCTTTACTTTTTAAAGGGATGGGAAATTCAGGAGGCTGTGGTATTATGTGAGTTCCAGGATCTGAGATCTTGCCATCATGGAGCAGGGACTCCAGTGGCTGAGCCATGCACTGCTCCATTTGTAGCTGGGGCAGAAAATAACCTTTTTCTTCTGAGAGCCAGTGTGGTGTAGTAGCTAAGAGCATGGGATCTGGGTTCTAGTCCCCGCTCGGCCATGGAACCAACTGGGTGACTTTGGTCAGTCACAGACTCTCAGCCCAGCCTACCTCATAGGGTTGTTGTTGTGGGGATAAGATGGAAGAGGAGAAAGATGTAAGTTGTCTTGAGCCTTTGTAGGAAAAAGGCAGGATATAAATCGAAAAATAAATAAAATAAATAAATAAAACCCTGTGCTGGTTGCCTCTCCCCGAGCGGCCATAACTGAGCCTTATGGACAGAAAGGGGCAGGCTGGAGATTAACATAAAAAGATGAGAAGAGCTATGCTGGATCAGACTGAAGGTCCATCTAGTCCAGCATTCTGTACACAGGGTGGCAAATCAGCTACCCACAGGATCCCTCAAGCAGGATGGGTGTAAGACCTCCTCCATCCCAAGCTCTTCATGCAGGCATACCTCATCTGGTAAAGGCAGTGACACATAGCCAGCAAGGCTAGTAGCCTCCTCCCTCATGAAGCTATCCAATCTCCCTTTTAAAGCCATCCAGATGGGCAGACATCACTACATCCTGTGGCAGCAAATGCCATATATACTGTATGAAGAGATACTTCCTGTCAGGATCAGGCCTGTGTGAACCTGCAAGTGCCTTCAGAACCAGGAACACATTTCCAGGCACTTACAGGGAACACCTGAGGAACAATTATGCAGTGCAGCTGGAGGCCCTGAAAACCAGCATAAAAGGCTTCCTGACATTGCTGCTCTTTGCCATAGTGATGTAAGCAGCCTCTTGTGCTCTGGCTTTTGTATTACTGTGCCTTGAACTGTGTTCTAGTCCTGTTCCAGGGTACTCCTGTCTGCTCCTGTGTATCCTGGTCTACCCTTGCCCTGCTCCTCTGTGCTTTTGCTTGCTCCGGTTGTTCCTGCCCTGCTCCAGTCCACTTGTCTTGGC